ACTACTGCTACTACCTACTACCACTACTGCTACTACCTACTACCACTACTGCTACTACTACTACTACTACTACTACTACTACTACTACCTACTACCACTACTGCTACTACTCCTACTACTACTACTACTACTACTACTACTACTGCTACTGCTACTACTACTACTACTACTACTACTACTACTGCTAAGCTGCTACTGCTACTACTACTACTACTACTACTACGACCTCCTAGTTCTACTATTCCTATGGCTGCTATAGCAAAAAACTGTTTCACCGACTGGAAGGCGTGTGACACACAGTCGTTCGCTGGACGTTCTTCAGGCCAAATCTCCCTTCTTTCTCTTCGCCCTTGAATAATCTGACGGCGAGCGTTCACGGGCATTTTCGGCCCAAATGGATGTGCTATTTTGACAGATCAGGGCTTCAAGGCCTTGGCCCTCCAGATTCGCAAAGACGGTTCAAGGTTTCAGCTAACAGTGAACGTCTCAGTGGGTTCCCCGTGCTGGCGATCGGCAGACTATGAGACTGGACCTGCAAAAATCCGTCCATGAGCTCGATCTATGCTGAAGCTGTTGCTCGTAGCCATACGAACCTTGAATCAAATAGCATATACGATCGCACATTGGCCGCCATAACTCGCCCAGAGTAGGGCAATTGTTAGCTCTTGCATTGCAGGTCGAAAACATGTCTTGTCGCAAGATTTGTCTTGTCGCAAGATTGTACTCAAACTACACGTCCAAACTCAGGCAAGTGCCTGGGTGTGAAAGCGGCACTGACATGACATTCCCGCCCAAAGCTTGTATGCCAGCCAGGTCCTACACACCCTCACGCAATCAAGCAATCAATCAATCTATCTATATATCTATGTCGCCAATCTACCTACTGTGTGTCTATCTATCTATTTATCTGTCTATCTGTCGACCTATCTATCTACCTTCCAAGCTGGCCATCTATCAATCGGTTCATCCGTCTACTACATGACATGACATCAAATGACACGACGGCGACATGACATGAAATTACATTTCATTGCCTTCTACTCCATGCCGGAATGCCTTTGCTGATCATCACAGTATGCTTCTGTGCGGCTCGCCTAGGGCAAGCACGCAACAGCAGCTGGGTGTGCGTGTGAAAGATCTGCGAAGCAGCTGACATTTGCTCGGCGGCAGATCTGTTTGAAGAGTTTAGGGTTGCGGCAATTTAGTGTTTAGAGTTCAGGGATCCCTTCGAAGAGGGGTCCTTACAATGAGGAGAAGCTCTTTTTGCGAACCAGGGCGCGAGACGCTGCTCATGCTCCACACAGACACCCACCCTGACATCTGAAATCCTCAAGCTACGCAGCAGCGTCTGAGCTAGCTAACTATAACTTGAACTGCATCCCTGGAACGTTCGAGAAGCACCTGTTGCAATTGGTCAGCCGCTTTCGGAGTTCTTGACGCTAAGGTCAGTAAAACAACATGATTGGCAGGGGTACTGGCC